GGGCCCAGCTGCAGGTGGGGCACGGCGTGCGGCCGCTCGGTGAACACGTAGTACACCACGCGCTGGCCCACCATGAAGTGCTGTTCCGCCGTCTCCAGGAAGCGCGCCAGGTACTTCTCCAGGTACCTGCGGCAGGGGCGGGCCTCCGTCAGTCTGCAAGCAGGGCCTGCAGGCTGGGAGTGCAGGAAGGAGGGGAAGGGAGAGGGTGGGCCCTCACTCACCCTGGGAATCTGGGACAAGGAGAGCTGTCTTTGTCTCTCACTTACTGTGCGGTCCCTGTGCAGAGACCTCCCTAAACGCCCCTAAACACCTGCCCCCCGCCCCCACCTGGACAGCATCATTCCCCGCCAGCCTTACCTGCCTACAGCAAAGACAGTCAGCCCAATGGTGAGGTTCTGCTGTGTAGCCTGCTGCTGGGCGGCGTCTGGGTTGAAGGTGCCATCCCAAATAATGGGGGCCCCCCAGGAAGTACAGGTCAGGACTTCAGGCCGGGCCCTGGCCAGGACAGGGATTGGGACACAGCTCCATTCACCTCTTCCGTGCACGATCACAGCACCCTCCCCGGTGATGGGCCCTGGGGACCCTGAGGGTCCAGTCCTGTCCCTGCTTCTGAAACCCCCAGCTTAGAACCAACAGTGAAGGACTGGGAGGGGTGCGAGCCGCTGGGGTGGGGGTCATCCCCAGGGCCGAGGATGGCCGCTCCTTACCAGGGCTGCAGGACCCCTGCGGAGTTGTCTCTCAGCAGGGCCTTCATGGCGGAAGGGCAGGCACCCATAGGAATGAGGGTTTCCAGCTGCCTGTGGGTGGGTGAGGCAGGAGTGGTTCACAGCCTGCTGGGGTGGGGGCTCGTGCTTTGCTCCTCAGGAGGAGTGAGTCCCAGGAGCGCAGGGAGTGCCCAGGCCAGGCTGCCCCACTCAATCCCTCGGGGAGGCACTTGGAAAGATGCACTTTAGCCCTCACCCTGGTGGTCCCGCCGCCGTAGAGCTGGAGAGGGAGACTGTACCTGATTACAGGGAACCAGTACAGGAGGAGGCCTGTGAGGCCAAGTGTAAAGAGGATCGGCCGCCAGAAGTTTCTCTTCCAGGCCCTGGGAGGAAGGGGCGTCAGTTCCCTTACCTGTACTTACACGTGTGTACACACAACACACACATGTGAAGAATTACTTGCATAGTTGAAGTGTGTTTATTGAGAGAGAGTGGAGCACCCTAGCCAGGCCCCATGGTCCTCTCCCAGCCCCGCCCAGCTAGGCTCGCTGGAACACGCATGTGTGTTGGCACGCCTGGTGGACTCGGGAACCGAGCTCTGAGCTTCCACAGGCTCCCGGCCTTGCAGAGCACAGCGCTGGGCCTATTGTGTAAGATTGGGTCGTCGGAAAAGTCATGATGCATTTTTGCCTAGAGAAACAGAAAAATACATCATGACCTTTCCGATGACCCATTATTTTACTTTAAAATTTTAATTAAATTTTTGTCTTTACTCGTCAGAGGTTGCCTGTGCTTGCCAGAGAGAGACAGGGAGGTGGAGGAAGAGAAAGCGTCTCTCAGCAGGGCACGGTCACGCCTCAGTAGTGTCTCCTTTTCTCCATCCCAGTGGGATTTGGGGCGCGCGTACACGTGTATCTGGTGTTTTTCAAGCCATGGGGGCTGGATCTGATGACCGGCTGTGTGGGATCCGGCTCCCCATACCCTGCCTTTAACCACGGTGCCATGGGACCAGCCTTGTTTGTATAATTTTGATGTTTCGTTTTACTTACCCCCCAAATAAGGATATATCCTAGTCATGTGGGAGACATTCACAGTGAGAAAGGCAAAGGCGTTAGTGAAGACAGAGAAGTCTTTCCTGCCCCTCGCCGCCTGGTTTTCCTGCGTGGAGGCAGCCACTATTTCCGGTTTTCTGCATCCTTCCAGAGGCCGTGTGCGTACCCAGGTAAACGTGCACGTGTGGTGGCAGCTACTCTCTCTTCCTCTTGCAAATACTCTCTATTCTGCTTTCTCTTTCCCCCTCAGATGGCAGCCCACGGCCAGGCCACTCTGCACCTCGTGTTTGTCATCATGGCTCTGCCGTCACAGTGCTTACAGAAGCTCCCTGCCCTTCTGCCTGAGGTGCGCCGGTGGGAGAGAGAGAGGTGTGCCCACCCTGGGCCCTCAGATTACGAGCACTTCGATGTCCTGTCCTTGGTTTTTCCTGCCTGCAAGGTGTGACCTTGGTAATCGGGGATGGTAACCTTCAGAGTTGGGGTGCATAGCCTGGTTGGGGGGGTGGGACTGGCCTTGGACAAGAGGAGAGGCTTTGAGGGGCTCCAGGAGAGTTTGTGACTCAGTGGCTAGGAATGAAGAGCTATCTGGGACTTAGAGGTGACTTCCTGGGCTGGCCATGTTGTAGCCCACTGTCTGTGGCGGCCACAGTGCGCAGGCTGGGCGAGCTCCCCCAGCAGCGCTCCATGGCTGCTCCTGGCTCCGAGGAGGCGAGCTCTGGGACTCATCCACAGCCGGTTGTTTGCTGAGGAGTGTTTCCCAACGCTGAGAATGTCAGTGAGTTTCTCCTGGGGACTGTTTCCATTCTCCCCATCCCTTCTGGATGCTCAGGTCTCCAGAGAGACTGGAACCAGGGCCGGCTAGTGGTGTGGTGGTCACGGCAGCTGAGTCCCATGTGACTCACTGCACAGTTCGCGTGTTGGACCTGGTGGCTTGACAAACACACTGGGTACATGTGCATGCGTACATGCCCAAAATCCCTAGAGGAGAAGGAAGGAGAAGGGCTTGCAGTGTGGCCATCTGCCTTGTGGGGTGCTTTCTCACATCTTTGTCTCTCTGTTTGTCTCTGTCTCACTCTCTCTCTGGCGAGTGCATGCACCCTATAATAAACTAAACAAGCAAACAAAACCAAAAAGACTGGAACCATATAGTAAGGAGCGCAGACACTGGGGCCAGGCCCCAGGTTCGAACCCCAGCGCCACCACTTGGGCAAGGTCAGGCCTTCTGCATCCAGTCTCCTCCTCTGGGAATGAGGATAATGAGAATAGGGACATTGGAAAACGGCCTCAGGCTCTGGAATTGTTCCCCAGACATTGACTATTGACAGTGATGATGGCCCTTCCTGCTGCAATCCGTGCCGTCTGAAACCCTCCCAGCCATCCTGCTGCCCCACAAATACTTCCTCGTGGCTCTTGCAGGAAGCCTGCCTGCATCAGACCCTCCTGCCTCAGCCTTTCCGCTACCCACCTAACTGTTCCTCAGCAGGTGCAGCTAGGAGGTAGCTCCGAGGACCTCCTTTTGGTTTTCGGCACCATCTCAGCCCACAGCTCCTCCGCCCGTTTAGCTGGCCACTCATTTCACCCCGTCCCTCTCCTGCCCTCACAGTGCACTGTCAGTCCCGGGCTGGGTGGGCTTGGCCTCTGTGCCGTCTGCATCTCCTGGTTCCCCAGCCTCCACAGTGACCCTCCCCAGGATGTGGAGCAGCACCTCCCTGCTACCAGTCAGCCCTGCACAGCTCCCACAGTCGTCTGCTAGACTTGGCCCACGTGAGTCTCCATGTCACACAGAGGAAACCCCTCACAGAAGCGCATCTTGCAGGCAAACACAGGAAACCTGTTCACCCTCACTAGTAATCAAAACATACAAATCAGAACAGGGTAGTATGTTTTGTCTATAAAATGAGCTCCTTAAAAATACATCATGAAAATAGCCAAGCTGCAAGGACACGGAGAGACAGCTGTCTTGCGCTTGCTGGTCGGAGAGCCACTTAGCTCTGGTAATGAAAAGCTTTCTGTATGCATCACCTTGGTTGATGAACCCCAGCTTCTGGGGGTCTATTCAAAGGAGACGGTCTTCAGTGTGGGACGTCCACGCCCCGAGACGTCAGCACTTTCTGTTGGGTCACGCAGTACGTTTACTGGACACAGCTAGGTATCAGAGCATGGTGCTGGGCTAGAGTTAGGGGCGAATGAGATGTAGCAGTCAGCTTAACTGAAGAGCCAGGACCTAGTGGGGCTGGGACGATACTTTAGAAGCCAGGGTGTGTCATCCAGGGGAGTGACGGGGGTATGGGCCAGGCTGTGGGTGGCTGGGGTGGGAGGAGTAAGTGTTGAAGGGCTGTTGAGGAGGGAATAGAAAGGACAGGGCCATTGATCAGAGGGACAGTCTGGCTGGAGGTAAGAGGCTGGAGCTCAGAAGCCAGGCAGGCCAGGAAAGAGTTGTGGTCTCCCAAGGGAGCGCTGGCGTGCGATGGGAGAGCTGGAGGGGAGGGCACAGGGGAGAGGAGGCTGGCGCAGGTCCAAACCAGGTGGGAGTGGGAGGACGACCAAGCAGGCAGAGTTGTTGAATTGATGAGCACTGAAGGGCCAGAGTGACTCCGTTTCTTTGGAGGGCCACTCCATTTTGTTAAACCCACCTTGCTGAGAATCAGCGCCCTCTCAAGTAAGAGAGGGTCATAATGAGAAGAACAAAAGAAATACCAGAGACCTGAAATAACTTCTTGCCCAAATTAACTGTCTAAAGACCAGTCAGTAAAAGACAACTTGCTTCTTGAAATCTACAGCCGACGTACAGCTGCGCGAGTGCCTTCCTCAGCACCCCTCGACCTGCCCCTAACAGCCAAATAAACACCCAGCCCGACTAACACTGGGCTCTCCACTCTGACTGCTGTGTCGGTAAGACTGACAGTCCTGGCTCGAGCCCGAATAAAAACGACCCTCGTGTGCTTACAGCAGAATCGGATCCTTGTGGGTTTTTGGGAATTCTACGAAGGGGCACTAAATTTGGGGGCTCATCTGGGATTCCCCAAGCCCCCAGAACCCCCAATCCAGAGGGTTGACGGCCGGTGAGTGTGTTTCCTTTGTCTCTGTGTTTGTCCTGTTCAGTTTCTGAGGGCCCTGACTCTATAATAGATCGGAATTGGTCTAGCAGATGCGCTGGCAGGCCGCCGATCTGGGGGTCTGAAAGATGTTCCAGACCCCCCCAGGAGGGGACAGAGTGCCCCTAGTTGTTCTGAGTTCTGAGGGGACATAGCGGGTCGCTCCCGTGGCACGGCGTGAGCCGTAGTCCCATTGTAGTTTCGCTTTAAGCGTCTGCGTGCCCACATTTGTCCTGTCTGGGTTTATTACCTGTCTCTGTTGGTGTGTAGTTTTTCTGACGGAAATGAGACAGACTGACTTCCCCTCTGATGCGGACCATTTCAAAGATGTTAAAATCAGGGCCCATAACCTCAGTCTAGGCTTTAAGAAACAGAAGCCCCACTCCTAGGTGCTTCAAGGAACAATCAGTGTTCAGTCTGCAGTGTCTGGAACCAAGGGAGCCATTAAAGAACATGCCCTCAGGATGATCAGAAGTGCCCTCAGGAATCATTAACCTGCTTGCTTTGCTTCTTCTTCTTTTTTTTTTTTTTTTTTTTGAGAGGTT